CGCGGTCGCGGAGCTCGCGGAGGCAAGGCGGAGGACAAAGAGGTAGGTCTGGGCTATGCTCGTAAGGCGGGCCCCTGGGCGGCAGCGGGCAGGCCCTCCGGGTCATCTTACGCGCATTTTCTTCCAGTGGCTCCCCGTCACCAAGCTGGGCCGCTTGGTGAAGGACATGAAGATCAAGTCTCTGGAGGAGATATATCTCTTCTCCCTGCCCATCAAGGTAAGAATGGGCCTATTTTTTTCGTAGGGGCCTGGGGTAGGTGAGTCTCATTTGACCTGGGATCGAGGGAGACCTGTTATTGGCTGACTATTGAGGGGCCGCGTGCTCTGTATTAGACTATGTGGATGCCGGGCTGTTCCATCTGATTGGGTAGTCAACGTGAAAGAAAACGGTTGGACAAATGGAAAGTCAGTTCTGTTGGAAGCCAGCGACAGGTGTTTGTTTGAATCTTTTTATCGAATATCTTTGTCACAAGTTTTTTTCTTGTAGGAATCTGAGATCATTGACTTTTTCTTGGGGGCGTCCCTGAAGGACGAGGTTTTGAAGATTATGCCTGTGCAAAAGCAGACCCGTGCTGGCCAGCGGACCCGGTTCAAGGTAATCCAGCCGTCTTGTTTTTCTGGGCTGTTTCTGTCAGGGTGTTTTGTGAGACTCTCTCAGCTCTGCATGGTTGCACTTGTTTCCACGCGTGTGACTTTCGTAATGGGGAGAGAGAGAAAGGATCTCCTTGAGACCTCAGATTGGCCTGCTGGTGGCCAGTCTTGCCTTGAGGGGTGCAACAGATCCTATGTGGTGGGAAGTTACTGATGCTATGAAGGCCAGTGGACCACCACCCACATCATTTTTTCTGCAGGCATTTGTCGCCATTGGGGATTACAATGGACATGTCGGTTTGGGTGTTAAGTGCTCCAAGGAGGTAGCCACAGCCATCCGGGGGGCCATCATCCTGGCCAAGCTCTCCATTGTCCCTGTGCGGCGAGGCTATTGGGGGAACAAGATCGGCAAGCCCCACACTGTTCCTTGCAAGGTAGGCTGGCTGAGGTTGAATGATGGGGCTTGCAATGGTGCAGGCTCCCTCCAGTCTACCTCCTGATAACTCACCCTTCCCAGGTGACTGGCCGCTGTGGTTCTGTGCTGGTGCGCCTCATCCCTGCACCCAGGGGTACTGGCATTGTTTCAGCCCCGGTGCCCAAGAAGCTGCTGATGATGGCTGGTATTGATGACTGCTACACTTCTGCCAGGGGCTGCACTGCCACGCTGGGCAACTTTGGTAGGTGGCCCACATGTACACCATGGCTTCTCTCAGCTCCGCTTAATCACACTCTTGTGTGTGGTTGGCGCATTTTCAGAGAGAGAGAGGAAGGCCCTCCTAATGCACGACAGACTGGTCCAAAGTGGCCTCTCTGTTCCTAGGAGTGCAACAGCTTCTATCTGCAATCTTCAGTTTTATTTCTGGTGAATTCACCAACTCTCTTCTGTTACCCCTTTTCCAGCTAAGGCCACCTTTGATGCCATCTCCAAGACCTACAGCTATCTCACCCCTGATCTTTGGAAGGAGACTGTGTTCACCAAGTCTCCGTATCAGGTACCGTCTGCCCCCCAACCTTAACAGGTGAGGCAAGTGCAGAGGGTGGCAGTCTGTCTGGCTACAACTGAAATCTCTTCTGTTTGTTTCTAGGAATTCACTGACCATCTTGTAAAGACCCACACCAGAGTTTCTGTGCAGAGGACCCAGGCTCCAGCTGTGGCCACCACATAGTTTAATATGCAAAAAATAAAGTGAATGAAGTCTGTTTATAGTTGCTTTTTATTTATTCTTTTTTAAAAGTGGTGGCTGAATTTGAAAGGGAAGTGGGGCCAATAAGACGTTTCAGAGACAAGTTCCATTACTCTTTATTTTAGCAACAGTGACAGTCACATGAGGGAGTTCATAGAGCTGCCTCAGGCAGCAGCAGCCTCTTTAGCGGCTTTTCTCTCTGCCAGCATCCTCTGCTTCTGTTTTGCCAGGCACTTCCTGGCAGAATAATGGGCCCCCAGGTCGTGATCTGGGAAAGAGATGGAGAAGGGGAGTCACGGGCCTCTTCTGCCTTGATGGGAACTTGGGGTCTTTTCTCCATGCAGGGAGGAATACTGGGCAGCTAAGACAGGTTAGTGAGCAGAAAGGGGACAAGGTAGGATTATTTTACACTGCTGGAGACTCAGCTAATTGGCATGCTTTGGGCAGTCATGTAGAAACTGCAGGAGTTAACCACCTTTAGCAAAGGGTTTAGCACACAGCTGTGTGGAGACTGGGACGTCAGGTGGCAGAAGCAGGAGGACCTGGGGGCAGACTGGGGGGGCTCACTCACAGCGGTCCTGGTAGGCCTTGGACACCTGGCTGAACTGCTCCAATTCCTTGGTACAGTTCTGCCTGTAGCTTTCACCTTCCCTCTGCTGACAGGCCTTCAGTCTTTCCTGGATAATGTTGACAATTTCTTGATCAACTTTGCTAAAAGAAAAACAAGAAAAGGGGTCTACAAGGATTCCTTTCCCTGTACTCAGGGAAAGTGGAGTGAAGAAAGCAGGGCCTGGGAGCCCTGTGGTCTGGCCCCTTTACCCCCAAGGTCTGGGCCAACCCTAGGAAGCATTCTTGCTAGCTGACCAGCCTATGGCATCCTGAGGGAATGATATGCTCGGCAGGACGTGCTCACTTCGCAGGGCTTTCAGTACTAAGAATGAAAGCCCAAGGGCAGAACATACTAGTCTCTTCTCCATTGCATTTCTGCTTCAAACATGCACAGGACGTCCTTCTCCTTGCATTCTGTGATGTCCGGCACCCGACGGAACTCACGGTGGTAGTAGTAGTACTTGTTCTTGGCGTGCTGCCGTTCTATAAACTCTGCAAAGAGAACCCCAGACCCAAAGGCCCTATTTGTTTGGACAGGCCAGCTTGGGCCCTGAGCTTTGTTATTTCTCATAAACCATGGAAGAGGCAGATTTCCCAAATGTTCCAAGCTTTTACAAAGACTGGTAACTGGACTCCCAAAGAAGAGGTGTAGGCTGGCAGAGATGGTCCTAGAAAGGACCAGGCTACAAATGGTGATGGATAGCTTCCTGTAAGCCAGGTACCAACCTTTCACGTTCCCTAATATGTCTCACTTTGTCTCTGCAACAATCCTACACAGGGCAGGTCCTTTTCATTTACAGAGAGGGGACTGAGGCCCAGAGAGATAGCAGGATTCAGAACCCTTCCTCTGCAAGCCCCAACAGCACAAAGACTCCACTATGTAGGCAAAAAGGCCCCAACGGGGAGCCACCAGCAGGGATTCTAGTCCCAGTTCTACCACCGCTGACCTGACCTCAACTTCTCCATGGATAAATTAACAAGTTGGATCTAGTCAGGTCTCATCTATCCAGACACATAAAACATATCTTTAAAAATTGCTACAGGGAAAAGGGAGCAGTTCTACTGCTGTGTCTTCCAGACTTTGGAGCCGGGTCTGGTTCCTCCCAAAGAACCACCAGAGAATGCTATGCATCCCAAAGTTTTGTTGTTCAATGAAAGAATTGATTAATTGCAGAGACCAATTGCCTGGCACTAGTGACTGAGGGCGTAGCGTGGTCTTGCTGCTGCCCCACGGCTGGTTCATAAACTAGACAACAGTTTGAAACACTGGCCTGGTTTTGACCAGAGACGGGGTAATTTGGGCAGCTCTCAAACGTAGGCACACACGGAGGACAACTTACAGCACTAGAGGTGGAGGGGACCTCGGCCACCATTGACTACCCAGGATATTTTGCAGGCGTGCAAAGGGTTAGTGGAGAACCGCAGCAGCTCAACAGCCCTTTGCTGACCGCCTACGGTGCAAAACGCAGGATGCAAAGTGTGCAGGGAGACAAGCCTCAGGACAGATGACTGCGGTCCGCAAACAACCCTTAATATTTGAACATGGCCGGAGACCAGGGGTGCGTGTAAGGCTCCTCAGGCGGCTGTGGACGTACAGCACCGCTTAGTGTAGTGGTGAGCGTTCTGGGAGGCGAGGCCTGGGATGCAGCGGGGGCGGGGGGGGGTTTCAGGCTGAGTGACCGGGCCCATGGTGTGTGGGATTCCTGGAGCGGTGGGGGGCCCCGGGGAGCGGTGAGGACGGGCTGGGGGTCGTACCTCTCACCAGGGTCACAGGCCGGTCCACGAGGAGGTCGAACGCCTTCGTAAGGTAGGTGATGGGGTTAGGCAGCGAGGTCTGAGGCGAGGGCGCCGGCGTGCGGCGTGGGGGCTCGGGGTACACGTCCTTGTCCCAGCTGTCCGGCATGGCTGCGGCGCGCGGCGGACTCTGCTCTCAGACTCGCTGCCGCGGCCTCCGCCTCGGCCCCTCTGCCTAGTTTGCCCGTACAGAGGACACCCCACGGCGGTCGCGCTTACGCAGGACGGCTGGCGCCCGCGATGCATCATGGAACCTGTAATTCGTCCGTAGCCGAGGCCGCCGGGGGTTGGGAGCCTCCGCAAGGCACGATGGGACTTGTAGTTCGTCCGGCAAGGCCAAGCTGGTCTGGGGAGCTGCTTCGCAGCGCCAGCACCCCTGCTTGGGACCATGGCGCCCACTGCACACGCGACGGGCGCCTACAGTGTGCTGGGCGCTGGTCTTGGCGCTTGGTATACGGCAGTGAAGGAATCAAGGATCCCTGCTTACATTCTAGGACGAGACAGACACAGGAGTAAGTAATCTACTCATTCAGTCTGAACTGCCAGTTGCGTACCAAGTGCAGCAGGGAGCCGACTGATGAACACAGCTGGGCTCTTCTGGAGAACTCAGGCCAATAGAGCAAGCAAATAGCAAAGACAAAAAATAACACAAACTACTAAACGCCCTGCTTTTCCAGGGAGCCTTCCAAGATTGCCCATTCGCTGCAGCCCTCTCTGGGCTCCACTGGGTTTGCCAGGGCCTCTCATGGACTGGCTCATGCCAGTGAGCTTGAGGGGGGCCTCCCTGGGGCAGAACAGGAGGCGGGGCTTGCCCCACCCCACCCTCCGACCCATCCTCCAAGTAAGGAGAATTAGTTCTTACCCTGGGTGCAGGGCACTCTGTTCCTGTTTTTGTTTTTGTTTTGTTTTTTAATTCTTATTTTTTATAGAAGGATAGTCGATTTACAATGTTAGTTTCAGGTGTACAGCAAAACGATCCAGTTATGCACATATCTACATCTGTTCTGGTTCTGATGGCTCCATCCTGGCCCTGAGCACTGTTGTGCCCCTGAGGCAGCTCCACTGACCAGGGTCCTCCTGGCCAACCTCTATGATCTCCATACCTGGCACAGCCTCTGACCAACACCAGGGAGGGTGAGTGCTGGTCACTTCCTGCCCAGAGGCTGGGGTCAGGGACACGGAGTCATCAATCCTATGGACACACAGAATCTGCAATCATAGAAACCTCAAATCTTCAAATCATGAACTCTTAGAAATTATCAGACTCAACCAATCATAACATTGGCCTGCAACATCGGCCTGAATGAGGGGAACCAACAGAGTTAGGCTGGAGTCATTGCCATGACCCGCAGTAACCAGTGTGAGCTTGCCCACCAAAAGAATATAAGAAAGCAGAGTATGGCACTCCATTAAGGAAAAGTGCCAAGATGATGACTTTCTGCTGCTACCCAGCAGCAGAGGGACCTGGAGATCATGCAGCAGAAACAGAAAAAGGCAGAGGAGAGAGAGGAACCCAAGCAGCTTTGGGGCTCCATGTCCAACCCTCTGGCTCTTGGCCTGAGTATCTGGAGCTGGTCCCACTACGTGCTTACAGCCTCAGCATCGCTGGCATTCCCTTTGGTCCTGAGCCAACAGCGCATCCCTTCGGAGCTTCCTTCCTTCCAGTAGCCTCTCTTCCCCTGGGCCACTTCTGGGATTGTCAGGTTACCCCTTCCAGTGATTATATCCCTGCAGGGCTCAGCCCAAGTGTTAAAAGTAGCTTCGTAATTCAAAAACAACAAAAACAAAGAGTTGTCATATTTTAGTAGCGGAGGATTTTAGCATCTAATGATGCAAAATGCGCGGACCCTCAGCCATATCTCAGGCCTCTAAAACTCTGATTCTGTAGCTACAGAACTTTAAAACCTTACAATCTTTGAATCAAAAAAATAAGAGATTTTAATCAAAACTGCAAAATTTAAGTTCCTAAAACTGTCTAAATGTTCTTGGCAGGGTGGGGGGTAGAGTGTGTGCTTAGCATACATGAGGTCCTGGGTTCAACTCCCTAGCACCTCCATTAAAAAAAAAAGAAAAGTAAAAGAAAGGGTGAATAAATATTCTTAGATCACAGCTATTAGAGTCAAGGGATCCTTATATGGAATAAAGGCCCTGGTGATCCTCTGGGCACAGAGTCAACCCTCCCCATCACTCCCTGTTCGTCCAGCTCAGGCTCACAGTCCTCAGGACAGTACAAGAATCCTCTCTGCTCCAATGCCAGCTGCCTGAGAGAAACCCCTCAACAGATTTCTCAGCCTCCCTACCAGGCCAAGTTGTTCCTGTTCCAGAGGGTCATACGAGGCAGAAAGCAAAGTATGGGACCTAGTCCCAGGACCCTGGAGGAAAGGAGGGCCAGGCCTGGCTCCAGGTGTCCCCAACCCGGGGGCTGCCCCCCTTTGCCCTGCCCTGGGCCAGGCCTGTTCCTGGCACCAGAGCCCATGCCTGACACGGGAGATGACAGAGCTCCCCTGCCAGGGGCTAAATCTGGGATCTGGCTGCTGTGTGTCCTGGACCTGCCGCTTGACCTCCAGCGCCTGGCAGGGAGGCCCCTTTCCTTCCTGACCTGCAGGGACCGACCA